CCCCCCCCCCATCTTCCTTGAGCATCCAACAAAACACTTCAAAAAAATGGAGATTTGTGGAATACGTGAGAATAAAAAGCATAGATGTGGTACTGAAATTGCAGGACACTTCAGCAGCACATACACTTATAATCTGAACATTACTCTTTGGTAATGTCAATCTTAGCTTCAATCTCATCTACAATTTGTTTCTCTTAAAACTGTCTCTGGACAGAAGTTATAGCACTTACAAATTATTATTATGTAAACACAGGGCTCACAAGGTGAGTTTGCACAAAGACTGAATTAATTTTAAATTAAGATTAAAAACTGTATTTTGGTTAGGGAGCAATCTAGTGCTACTGAGTACAATAAGCTACCTAAGAGCACACCGCAGGACTCAAAGTTTAAAATGCAGGGTAGGCATTATCATCTTATTGTACAAGTTAGTTAACTAAATTGCTTCAAATCTCAGACATTGTGCTGTAAGAGAGGTTATTGATCTACCACAAAAGGGATCTGGTGACATGCAGAAAATCAAGGTCAGGCAATGGAAGAGATACTGCAATACAGTGGACCATCTAGCCCTCCCTATTAACTTGCACCACAAAATGAGGATATATTATGCTTAACATTTTTGTGCTTCCAGGGAAAAATAGTTTGTTCAAGAAACCCCTATCTATAAACCACATTACTTATCCTTTCCGCATCATTTTCCTCTTACTCAAATTGCTTTTTGTTCAAACTTAAAAACCAAGACATTCACTTTCAGGGAAAATTCAAACATGGGCAGTTCAAAAAGCGAAACTTGTTGAAGTTATGAGTGATCAAGGATGGAGTAATAGAGAAATCCATCTTGCATTATGAGCTACAGCGATCCCTACTGATAGCTATTACAGTAACAGCCTCATACCTTGAATGTGACTATGACAACCCCATACTCAAGGGCATTATGATGAATAAGATGACAATTGCCATACAAGTAGTACCAGTATCCTGTGTAGCTAAATTTGTTAGGTATTTCAGAAAAAAAAAGCCACTCGTAAGTACGTACCTGGTTTAAGAGATTTTACAAAAATCTCCCTTCTTCCCCCATTACAATTTATCTTGGAAGTTTCAAAAATTCCTGAATCTTAAAAGTTTATATGTAATGTTTGGAAACACCCCTTTTAATTCTCAGTTGACATACACCATATAAATAAAGGAGAGTTCTGCCAACTGGGTTGGCACTATCAGTTTAATTGGAAATTGACATCAGTGAAGCTTGAGGGGGTTTTGGAGGAAGTTTTTTTTTTTTTTTTTTTTGCGTCTCACTTGTGTGGCCCCAACTGACTTCTGTGGGTCAGTGACCCCTGACTCAGAACAGGTTCCCTGCCCTTCTCATAAATAAAGACAATGGCAGTTCTTTAAAGCACATATGTCTACATTGCAATAAGATACCTTCAACAGGCCCATGTCAGCTGACTAGCTCATAGCGCTGTAAAATTTCAGTCCCAGAGCCCATGGTCACTGTAGATGGTGCATCTACAGCAATTCTGTATCCTGGGTCAACTGACAAGACTAGCTGCAGCTATTTTATTGCAGTGTAAACATTAGGTATGTAAACTGCCGAGTAATTGGGTAACTTGTTAAATAATAAAGGAGGGGGCCTGGGCTGGAGCATCTCCCACCCATCACCACAGTGGCAAGGAGCTGTTCCAGTCCCACTTATTAAATGCAAGAGATGTTAGCCAGCAGCATCAACTAAAACTTTAGAGCTCTAACCATTGCCCTGACTAGTATTTCTGCTCCATTTACATGGAAGCAGACAATAGAAGTCAGGGCAATGGTTAGAGCTCTAAAGTTTTAGTTGATGCTGCTGGCTAAGTAACTTCAGAATCAACAAGCTGTTATAGGGCTTAGATCCCTTAATGATCAGGCTGAAAGTCTGTGGTGCTTGATTTGGCCACATGAGATATGGCTGGATGAGGCAAGTCTCAAAGGAATATTAAAAAACAGACATGTACTTCTTATCTACAGATTGCACCTTCCAAAACTGGAATTCTCTGGTTTGGATCACAGATGTCCCTGATCAGAGAACCCCAGCAGCCTAATGGCAGGAGGGCAATCCAGGAGGGGCCAGGCTGAATAAGCAGGAGTTGCAGCAACCTGCAGCAGTTGGCCATGAGCCAGCAGCATCCCCCAGCAACTCCTGACAGCTTGAAGGACTGGGTCGGGGCAGGCCATGGCAGCACAGGATAATGCTGGCAAAAGCCTATGGGAAGCAGAGGCAGAGTCTGCAGGCTGCTGTGGGGAAGGAGCCCACGCTCTCAACAGCCCATGGCAGAGGAATCAGGGTTGGGGCTGACAGCAGCACCAGCAGTCCACGGCAGCATGGGGCCAGAGCAGGGATGTAAATGACCAGTCAACTATCCATTAAGCATATGCTTACAGGACAGTTGACTAGTGACTCAACTAGTCACTCCTGATACCTCAATACTTGAAACAGCTGGTTTAAGTTCCTCATTTCAGAGACTCTATCTACTACCTGTGAGACAAACATACTTACATATCTAGCACCTGGAACAAACAAATCAATCCAAGCATAACAATCACCCATTTAAGATGGACCTATGCAAAAAAAGACAAAAACCCATCAAATTACCTTTCCATATTAATTCCTGCCCTAGAAGCACTAGATACAATAGCAGTGAGGGCTATTTGTGAAGGTGTAAACAGAAGGTAGGCATCTGTCAGAGCTACTCGATTGAGAAAGTCATCAGCTGCCTTCCTCAACACCTCAGGATTTTCCAACAATGGATAACGAGTCTAGAAAATAAATATTCAGACGTTATTTTTAACATGTTTTAATCTTACAGATACATTATCTTAGACATCTAATCAGGGATCATCTAGATCTGTGGTCACCAACCCCTCTATCGGTAGGCATCTGTCAGAGCTACTCGATTGAGAAAGTCATCAGCTGCCTTCCTCAACACCTCAGGATTTTCCAACAATGGATAACGAGTCTAGAAAATAAATATTCAGACGTTATTTTTAACATGTTTTAATCTTACAGATACATTATCTTAGACATCTAATCAGGGATCATCTAGATCTGTGGTCACCAACCCCTCTATCGCAAGGCATTCGCCCCCCCCCCCCCCATCCCCCCCCCCCCCAAAACCCCCCCCCTCCACCCCC